CCAGGCGTGAAGCGTTGTGCTGAGCTGAGGTCCAGCTGGAAAGAACAGATCCAGAACAGGTCTGGAAGCGCGTGGCTTGGAAATGATTAAATTTAGCTGTCAGATTGCATTTGGCTCCGCCGAGCGCGTCGCCATTCATGAGGCCTTGGCTGCATGTCCCTCCACGCAGGCGCTGGCTTTGTGTCTTTCTTGACTCTTAAACGCAAACATTCTACAACAAACCACTGGCAAAAAGAAAGGACTCAGTCACACTAACACACACACACTCCACCAGGGAGATGTGTTTATGGAAAGCGGCAAAGACTACACGAGAAACAGACTGCGCTTTAAGCAAAAAAGCTCAACTCATTTATATTCAAAATGTTTGTATGGAACGTGTATTATAAAATCCGTCTGTGTTCACAGAAACTGGCCTGCTGATTGTGAACAAGAACAATCATATTGTGGTGTGGTTACTCGACTGTAGCTTTTTTTATTAGCACAAATATGTTTAACAGCTATTTTGCCCTGTGGCATTTAAGACATTAGGAAAGCCAACCCTGGTAACAAAAGAAACAAATAGGTAATGTGGCAAACAGTGATTATTGTACTTTAAATCTTCTTGACAAGGTAGCGTTCGCTCTCCGATCGACTTCTGTCTCAGTCGGCGTAAATAAGGTGTGTGCTGTTAAACCAGTGTTGGTTTCGTGCAAAGCCGATGTTTTACAAGCAATCACCTGAAGGGAGTTCCTCCTGTCATTTGCACGCAGGGCCCTTTTGTTGTCTTTGCTGAAAGCATTTTCCGAGCACCCAAACCGGTCCTGTAGCTGTAGTAACAGTGATATTATCTAAGCATGCTTTACCTGAAGGGGATCCTGTCACAGAGAAGCAAGGTGAACACAGTTGGGGCTGGCCAGGCCCAATACTAGCGATTTAGATTCAGTTTTTTAACACCTAAATAGTAAGTAGTCCTTTTGTTTGATAAAAAGGGCACATTAAATGATGTTGCAGAGCATGTATAAGGATTCCGTTGTTTAACATGATTTTAAAATATCGCATTCTGGGTTTTGTGTAACTATGAGCTTGAGATGATATTTAACTGAACGGTGAATGGTAGACGTGTAATGGATGCAAAGACAGAGACTTCAAATTACATTATGTGTCATTTAGCTGGCGCTTTCATTTCGAACTCCCATGGAGATCCCCCGTCCCGTCTGCGACAGCAGCATTATGTATGTTCATGCACAGGGCAGCAAAGCTTGGCCTCACGTGTAGATTTCTGGTCATGCTGGAATATGGACTCGTTTGTAACAAGGACAACAACCACTTTCAAAAAGCTACTGTGATACACAGTCCACGTTTAAAAACACACTTTCTTCTGCTCCTCTCAAGAGAAATGGATCCATCTAGTTACCCGTCATCGTAGTTCGCCAGAGAGCCTCGAGAACGTGCCACAATGTTTGCAGGGCCTCCTTTTAGATTTGGTCACTTTTTTTTATCTGTGGGTAACCGGACAAAAGGCCCAGTGATCAGAACATACGAAGAAACTGTTCAGCTGCTTCAACTTAAAGTCAACTTCAAACTGGTTCCCAACAACCGTTGGAATGGCAGCTTCGATATCTGAAGAAGGAAAGAGAGAACGTGCCTTTGCTTGTTTACGGCATTGATGTGCAAGGGGGGCTGTGCCCTCTCTCCCCATCGCCAGATGCAGGGGCTGGCTTTCCTTTTTACTGCTAATATCTTTATCGATACATGAGAGAACTTGACCTTATTTTAAAAACCTTTCTTGTTTTCATCCTTGTCCCACATATCACCTAAACTGAAGCATGATGAACTCATTTGCTGAACAGAGTAACGACAGAGAGTTTCCTACAACAAGTATTGAGGTGAAAGTGGGCATATACGTGACGAAACATGTGGAGCCGTGTACACGTGAAGAAACAAAGCGATTATGACTAAGAACACGCACATGTTTGCGCAAAACCACAAAGCCCCATGGAGCTGGCTCACAACATGGTTCCAAAACAGAGCTGTCAAAATACTATAATTAGTGGCTGATGAAGTATTCTGAGGTGGGATGTATTGTACAACAAACTGTACTGAACACACAGCTGCCATAAATAGCATTAAGGAATTCCTGGACTCACCATGAAATTCCCTAACTGTTTTGAATACATCCCAGACCTTAAAGCCATTCAGTTATCTTCACGCTTTTGCCAACATAATCCTTTGAAAACATTCGAACATCACAAACGATCTCCTTCCTCGCACGCACAAGCTTTGTGTTTGCATAGAGAGGGAGACGCACACGCCTTGAGTGTTTAGGTGAACTAACTCCTCTTCACAGGGTTATTCAACTTCTTTGTTGAATCTCCCGCGACAGTTTACATCTCTAAAAAGCTCAACGGGTTTCGGATATTTTTTTCTCAGACGTTAGGTGAAGGATCATAATCGGTTTTCTTTGTAAGACAATTATCTGCTAATAAGTGTTACTTCCAAATAGTTTTAGAACTGAAATGTACATTGATTCACCGACCTGGATCCCCAGCTATATTTGACACAAATCATGATCAATAGGGTAATAAATGTATAATTTTGTATTGATTTGACTTGCTGTTAATATTTACCCTTTGCTTAGTGTAAAGAAAACATAATTCAGCTAATAACAAACTACAACCACGTCTCTTTCTACAGCACTTTGCTCTCTTTTTATTGCATCAACTCATTAATGGGGACTTGTATATCCTGTGTGGATACATACAACGCATAATATATTGGACATGTTTTGAGGGCTGTACGGCAACTAGCCTGTCATCTCTTGTGCGTCATAGTCCCACCGCAAACTCGTAAACTGGTCAACCATGACAGACGATTTGTATTACAAATCACGGGCGTGTGACTCTGTCTTTCATGAGCAATGGGCCCAGTCTGACTAGTGTTCCTCAATCCAACGCACCCACACACACACACACACACACACACACACACACAAAGGCCAAGGTCAGAGCTGTAGACAAAGTACGGCACTCAAATCCACATTTGCATTTAAAATGTGTCGGTTTGTTCTAATGTGACAAGCAATATAAAGCTTTCAAGGACAAAGTGCTGCTCAGAACTGATGTCATCATTTAATTGCGACACTGTTTAGTATAGCGCACATTGGAAGTTTTTAAATGTCGTGGCCAACAGGTGTGTGCTTTAAACCCGAAAGGTCTTATCTGATAAGTGCTGCGCGGCGCTCATCGTTATCAGACGCACTCATAAATCTCACCACACTGGTCTTGACGGAGAGGTAATGAAAAGGTGAGACAATAAGAACATCCAGTGTGAATGATTGATGGCAGTGAGTCACTGTATGAGGAAAATATTTAAAAATCTACTGTCTAAGATTAATATGGCTGCCAACCTGGGCTTCCATAAATGTTAATAGTAAGGTAAGCGTATAGCCTCTAAACAAGTTAAACAAACTGATTCAAGGTGCAGCTGAAAGATAAATCAAATAGTTGTTTGCACTTAATTACAAAGGTCTTGTTCTAATGAATGATTGATACAAGTTTTACTAATGTTTACAGATAAGGATCTGTTTTTGGTTACCAAAATACCAAAATGCATTATGTTCTTTTGTTTTTTAAACAATAACGCATTTCTTAATGCTCAATCTGACTGGGGTTTTTCATTTTGTGATGAGTCACAAAGTCAGCAGATGACATAGTAATGAGAAAAAGTAATTAAAAAGCACCACGTCTGCAGCTGTAATTGTCAATAAAATGTTAATAAAAATGATTCTTTCTAAAAATGATTGATAGAAGCACACTTTTAAAATGTTTGAATAAGTCAACAGTTAAAACACCTTTTGTGATCTGAAAGGGGGCTTTTGGAAGCATGGGCACACTTATTACCCCGTGGTTCCACCTGTAAAGCTTTCATACTAGAAGAACTCACGGACACAAGCTGCTACATGCAGGGAGCAGAATGAATACCAGGTATTTAAACTCTTGTCATTATATGGTAAGCGTGTGGCAATCCGTCTTTCACATGCCACCTTTCAAAATAGCGACTTCACCCTGGACTTGGAGTCACAGACAACACAAACATATCTGAAAAATCAAAACATCCACGCCAGCACAAACATTCGCAGCCTGCATGAAAAAAAAAAGAAACTGCCTGACACATTTAGTTTGCATAACAAAAGTTAAACCACCAGGCGCAGTAACAACATATCAGTAGTTTTCGCAATGTCAACATTGGTTTCCAGTTGATGCATGACGTTGTTTTTATTTGCATGTTGGTGACAGAGCAAGCATTTAACCACAGGGATTTGCAGGAAGTAAGACTACCAATTATACAGTTTGTTGAGTTCAACATGACTGCAGGATGAACCTGAGGGAGTGAGTGGGGGGAGAACGTATCCGGGATGTGGGGCTCAGGACTGACTGATAATGAAAGACATGAGCTATTAGGGGCATGATGTTCAATGGGTGTATGTTCACCTGTTGGCTTTGTTGTCATAATTGCACTCCTTGAAATGACATCACAATAGTCGGCCAGCCCCTGTTCCATCCAAAACCTTAAGGAGGTTCATTCTTAAAAGAAAATAAATCCCAACAGCAGATTTTTGTCTACAGACCTACGCGGAGCATCTTTTCTGAGTTTTGTTTTAGTTTAATTAGAATGCAAAGAATTCCATCTATGAAAGGGCGGCTTACGGACTACACTGCTGCCTGAAATTGTACCTGCAGGCGGCACACCTTTATATTCCAAGGCAGCGCCACCTGGTTGTCTCAGGTGAAAAAGTCAGACAGATCCCATTTCACAGGTGAGAAAGTCATAATACATAATATACTGCATAATACTGCTCTGACTCGTCTTTACATTGAAGATTATACTATGAGCGTTTCATGACATTTCAATCAGGATGTTACAAGGTGAAAATGTTTTGTGATACTTCAAATGTTTGGAAATGCTTTAGCCCCGCCCTCTTGGGTTGGCCCCGAGGTGAGCCGCATATAAACAGCAGCTCACGCGGATCAATAGGTGAGACTGGCTGCCGCACTCCTCCAGGTATGAGAGATACGAAGGACTTCATCGGATCCACTCCAAAGCCGTGCGCCTCTTGACGCACGCGAGATCCGTGACATTACGCGGAGAGCACCTCGCAAAAGGGTTTAATACAGCGAGGACGGTTCTTTCGCAAACAGCATGAAGCTGGAGGTGTTGTGTGGGAGCCACTACGCCATGAAGCATCCCCAGATGTCCGGTGATGCGCAGGGGAGTGCGCGCTCCCCTCTTTCCGCTGAGGAGGAGCTGGGCTCGGACGGGGACTGCGTGACTCGCAGCCCTCCACCTGTTACACCGTGCGCCATTGCCAAGTCCAAGCCGTACGCACGGAGACCCAAACCGCCGTTTTCCTACATCGCTCTCATTGCCATGGCCATCCGGGACTCTTCGGCCGGACGTTTGACTTTGGCGGGAATAAACGACTACCTGATGAAGAGGTTTCCGTTCTTCCGTGGCAGCTACACCGGCTGGAGGAACTCGGTTCGGCACAACTTGTCGCTGAACGACTGCTTCATCAAAGTGCTGCGGGACGCGTCCAGGCCTTGGGGGAAGGACAATTACTGGATGCTCAATCCCCAGAGCGAATACACGTTCGCCGACGGGGTGTTCGGGCGCCGGAGGAAACGCATCGGTAAAAAGTTCCCAACCAGGGAGCCAAAGGTGTCAGAGGTCACCGAGGAGCCGCGGGGCGTTCGCCAGTCCGCGTCCGCCCCCAAAACGGATTCGCGCGTCAAGTTCACTAGCTCCTTTGCGATAGACAGCATCCTCAGCGAGCCGTTCAAGAGGGACTCAAACGAGGTGCGTCTACCTGTGCAGCCCGCCATCACCTGGCCGACCTACAGCGACCTGATGATGCCTCTTTCAAATACGCCCGCTGCCTCATTTCCGTATTTTAAGCCAGCCTGTTATGTGGACTCATTTTCTGCGCATGCGTCAAACATCTATTTAATTTGATGCTTCGAGTAATCAGTGTGCACGTGAGATGGACACTCGGGAGAATTGGAAACTGATTGGACTGTATTGTGCTAGCAATGTGTTACTCTTATTTTTGTACATTCTAATTATCAGATTTGATTTTTGATACGTACTATTTGTGGAGAATGTTACTGGACTGACCATTCATGTTGATAAGAAAACGTGCACTTTGACTGTCATTAAATAACAAATAAATTTAAAAAACTGATGAAGTTCTGTGTTTTTGTGATGTTGCGAAATTCAAAATAAAGGCAAGTCATTATTTCTGGTGACCAAATGGACAGACGACCGTTTAAAAAATATATTTAGTTTGTGTTCTGAGGGCCAGCTGCCTCTTGTTATCTAAAAGCCTGTAGCCTATATGTTGTAAACACTTTTAGGTTGAAAGGTCAGGTTTTTCTCCTTAAATATTTAGGACGGCCTCCAGTAACAGTTTATTATAACAATGACATCAATACAACAATAAGAACAATAATGACAATACAATAAAACAAAACGAAAACATATTATATTCTAACAGTTATAGTAATGGTCTTTTGTATGATCCAAAAAGAACTTAGAAGAGTTTCGTTCATCCAATATCCAAGGAGCATCCAATATTTATGCTTCGTGTCTGGCGCTGCAAATAGCTGTCGCCTCAGTCCCCAACATGCGCAGGAAAGCGTTTGTAAATGGGGCATCCTGCGCGAACTCAACTGGAATCCACAATAGGAAGAAATGTCTTCCTAGGCCTATTCTTCTGAGGCTAGAAAGTCAATTTCCTTTCAGACTATAGCTGTGTATCCTGGACGCAGCGGGGCAGCGGGTTTGATGTTGGTTTGCTGTTGTGCGAATTTAATACTTTATTATTGGCGACTACTTCACCAAGCCCCAAAAAGGACATGTAGCAGTAAACGTTCCACAATACGGAGAAACATACGTATACAGTATATATTTTTATTATAATTATCTCAATTGGTCCTTACAACTTTAGAGTTTTTTTCAATTCATCTCTCCAGGGATGTAAAACGGGCTGAAGGAGGTAAGCTGACACTTGTGCGCTGTGTGTGGTACATCGACCCGCTTCCTCTCATGTCAGCTCATTACCTTGAACAGATCCCAAACAAACGAACACTGCAAGTCTCTTTACTCCCTGATATTGGTTGCTTTTGTGTACACCAACACATTAAAACCACTGTAGCAGCCATTGTATTTTTTTCTTTTTTAAAGCTACACGAAAACAAAATAAATCATTCGAAGAGTTTCTCTTTATTCGTTCGAGTTTGAGAGATCATCGTTCCGAATGTGAGCCCGATGAATGAATTCGGAGGTGTTTGGGAAAGCGAGTCGTGGGAGGAGATTTGTTTTACTCCACTGCGCCGTGTCCGGCTTCTAGTCTGGATCCCGGCCAAATGGGGAGGGAAGTCGTTCCTGGCGATTTCTTGGAGGGATTTTTTTTGGGTGTGGGGGGGTTAGAGGGGCAGAGAGAGATTTAGAAATTGATAGGCGGTCGGGTTGTGTTTGGTCGGTTGGATATGCGCAAGGAAAGTGGAGGAGACATATCCCCCCCCCTCCCCCCCCCCCTCCCTCTCTTGTGGGAGTATTGCCAGCCATGGACAGTGAGAGAGACGCAGAGAGAACAGCGGATGGCGTTTCTTGATTTCCCCGCGCTTATAAACGCAGAGGGACACTGACCTTTTAATAATAAATCTGTATTTTTATATATATACATACGAAACGTTATTTGCTCAGGTGTTATAGAGTCCCAACAGGGAACGGATTACCCAAAAAAAAGCAGAGGCGCAACCATGACGACCGAGACCTCGAAGCACCGTTTGGATCCATCCAATTCTCGCTCCAGCGCAGCGGCTTCTGCTCTGAATGCAGCTCCGCCGAGCGCGCAGCCAGTGATGGAGAGCGCGCGCAATGCACCGCCCAAATGGAAAAAGGGAAATTCCGGCTTGAGGCGTCCCGAAAAGCCTCCCTACTCGTACATCGCCCTCATTGTCATGGCAATTCAAAGTTCGCCGACCAAAAGGCTAACGCTGAGTGAAATCTATCAGTTCCTGCAGGTCCGCTTTCCTTTCTTCAGGGGTTCGTACCAGGGATGGAAAAACTCCGTCAGACACAACTTGTCTCTGAACGAGTGTTTCATCAAGCTGCCCAAAGGTCTCGGTAGACCGGGCAAGGGACACTACTGGACCATCGACCCGAGTAGTGAGTTCATGTTCGAGGAGGGCTCCTTTCGTCGCAGACCTCGCGGGTTCCGTAGGAAATGCCAAGCTATGAAGCCGATGTACCGAATGATGAACGGCATCGGCTTCGGTGCGTCCGTGCTGCCGCAAAGCTTTGACTTCCAAACGCCGTCAGCCTCACTGGCGAGCCGCAACAGCTACAACGTGGACTTGATGGGCAACACGGTGCCGGCTGGCTTCGAGGGAGGCCACGGGGGAGGACTTCACGTCTCACACATGTCATCGGGCTCCGGGTCATCGCACATGGCCGCGTGTCAGGTGGCCTCCAGCGGGGACTACTGCCCGGACAGCAGCTGCAGCCCGCTGCAGTCCTCCCCGCCGATGGCAGGCACTTTGGACTGTCAGTCTCCGTATGCAAACGCGTCCTCGCACTGGAGTTCACCTGGCGTGTCTTCGTACATCAAACATCAGTCGGTGGCAACGAGCAGTCCCACTTCTTCTGCTGCGCACGCGGGGATGTCCTCGTACTCTCTGGATCAAGGCTATCTGCGCCATAACGCATGGGACTCCACGGACATCTCAGGTACAGCGTTGACATGGCGTCCTGACACGTGACGACGTCCTGTGAATTCAAGTGTATATGGTGAACTGTAGTGAGCTGTTAACTAAAATGAAATACACATTTCTGATTTTCAGCCATCACATACATTGAAGAGTATAATTGCCGACAGCTCTATAGAGCTTTGATTGTCACAATGCATTTTTTATTGAATGTAGGAAAAAAAAAGTAAAGAAAAAAGTATCAGAGAATGTGATCGATGCAGTGCAGCAAAAAAAGTTTGTAAAGCTGTGCAATTAAAACATAGAAAAATACACTCAGGTTGTAACGTTGCACATTTAGACCGTTGTAATTTTCTCTTTCCATGTCACCTATTTTATATATATATATATATATATATGATTTATTTTTTTTACCATGTTATTGCATTTTCACCCAGGCCTTCATTTAAGGCCTCTGTGATGTGTAAGATACAAAAATAGCCTAAATAACGAAATAAAAAGCAGTTTATGATAAAGACATGTGAAGAAAGCAACGAACACGGCATTGAACACGCTGCCACAATGTCCATCGAAAAATACTAGAATAATAATTGATTGATTTCAGCTGTAGGTCTTCAACATGGATGATAATCAGGATAATCCAAGTAAAGGAGTTTTCTTGTTTGAAGTCTTTTACGTTTTTCCTAAAGGTGCATAACAACAAACAGGGGAACCACTTCCCACTCCGAATGTTGGTTTATAACATCACAAGCTATTGATACGCATGAACAAATAGTGAAATCCCTCGTTGTGAAAATGCCATTCGGCCAGGGTTAAATATCCTCCAATTTACTTGATTATATACTTTTGATTAATAAGTAAGATTTGCTTTCTGAAAAAGGGCTGCATATATCTGTGCAAAAACCTATTTGCATTCACTATTTGTAGCAGTTGAAACGGAAAACACACACTCTAAGATGTGTGTATGCACAGTTCATTATAATTAGAAATGATAAATGGACCTATATGAGATTACATTATTGATAAATAAGGACAACATTTTGCTGCCTCCCAGCCGAAGACTTGCTTTTATAATTATGTAATGAAGATAATCCAGTTGGATGAAAGGAAATGATTGGACTTGATGTGTGTGTTTCCAGGGGGACTGTCTCGGTACTCCGGCCACTCGGCTCCTGGGAGTGAAAGGAAGGACTTGGTTTTGAACCTAAATGGCATCTCTTCCCTCCACCCCGGCGCCGGCGCATCGTACTATCACCAGCTGCACCACCACCAAGGTGTCTATCAGGACGTAAAGCCATGCGTAATGTGACACAACAACAAGGACAGAACGGACTTCTTCTGCTAAACGGAACCGTCGGGTGGAGTCATTTTAACAGACTATTTGGTGACTTTCAGTGAAAGTGGCCAATGTGTTTTCCTTTGGAGTCAATGGCAGTAAACTTGGACGTTTTCTTTAAACTGTTAATGGTTATGAGGAGATGATTTGTTCTGGCACTCTCATACTAATTGATATGAGGAAGCAACATCAACAATGTTACGCAATAAAAATACGCACATCTTGATTTTTTTTTTCCATCTACTCATTTCGTATTCCTGAAAGTTGCTGAGATTATGGCTGATTTCTTGCATTTGTCCATTAAAGATGTTTTTTTTAAGGATGATTTTGAGGCATTAGCAATAAAACATTTTTTATACGGGGCGTTTTTCAATTTCTCAGTATGTTGAATATCATGTTATTATTATTATGGTTATATATGTATCCAAAATCATACACAAAGACAAAAGATACAAATTTTCTTAATGGCTTTTCAAAATATGCCTTGAAGAAAAATCAAAAGGTCCTCTTTAAAGACCCCATTGAGCTACACCACGGGTTCATCATCCGTTTAGTACATGAGTAACGATGAGGTGTTTTTTAAATCAAAACGAATCATATATTTTGTGTTAGTGAAGTGACGATAGTTAATAATAATAATCCTTCACACAGAAAAAACAGTTGAATGAACATTTTAAGAATCCTACCTGTTCTTATTCATAACTAAACTGAAAAGAAGACGGCAAAACATTTCATAACCAACTCTGACCTAGAAGTTGAGATGAACCCAATCGGTGTTGTTTCGTTCTGTTGGTTTTCACGTGACTGTAGCGCCACCTCGTGGTGACTAAAAGGTGTAGTCAGACTTGTCCGTTTATATAACTGCTCACAGATATGGCAACTCTTTGACCAACAGTGAGGTTACTATGGTTACCTGCAATACAGTATAGCACATCTTTGACCTGATTAATAGTACCGATTGGATCGCCAAATCTTTCCACGTTCATTTTCATCAAAGAAGTCGACATTTCATCGTCAAAAAATGTTTGTACACATAAATGCTTTCAGTTACAAAACATGTTGACGAACACACACACACACACACAAGTCCTTTACACACCATTTTTTCAGAATAAATCAAAGTGTTTTCATTTGATAATGAGCAAGACAGCGTGAGAGATCAGATGCAAAGCTGTGCTTGGATTGTAATAATATATAATTGTAATTGTAATATTGAGTCTCAGTCTGAAAGACATTGGTGGATAAGATCAGAAATAATGTAATTCATGTTAAACAATGCGGCAGACATTAGATAAGAAGTAGTTCACTTGATTAACACAAATGAATACCTCAGGTGTTTATTGACAATAGCACTGAATGACGTGTCGGTCATTGGGGTAACTTTGTGTGACAGATTTCTCTCTGGAACTGGAACAATGGTTTTTATGGTGAGACAGCATCATTCAGTTACTTAAATGATATCTTCATCCAGTGCAACACGTTGGATATGTGCATTCTTTGATACATGTAATGTCACAAAACAGCAAACCCAAATAATACACAATAAAACACCTCGTCGGTTCATTGTGAAGAATTGTTTATCAAAAAGTCTATAAATGTCATTGAGGACACCAATAGCATTGGCACCAATGCCATACATCGGGTGTTAAGGCTGTACGTTTCTCTTGAAATCGGTGATTCTTAATTGACGATCAGGACAGTCTGAACTCGGCTGCGCTAAACTGCCATACTGATGAATACCACGAGGGGGCAGTAGCGTCTTATTAATATTCTAATAGTCTCCACTGCGCGATATGGTAACACCACACGCACACACACACACACACACACACACACACACACACACACACACACACACACACACACACACACACACACACATATAGATACACGCTAAATAGTTAATAGCTCACCAGCAATATTCATCTCAGTAGTATAGAGACGCACATATTTCTTGGAAAGGGAAACGTCTGATTTAGTGATGTTTTAGTGACATCATTACCTATATATAGTTATATAGTTTATAGCTGAGGAACCTACGAGTATCTTGGGCGTTTTTTAATGTCAATCGTCTTACAAAATGTTTGGTGGCCACTAAACAATGGACTTTATGACGGTTTCAAATGACTCAAATCACAGTGTAGGCTGGGAGCAACTAAGGATTTCTAACTTTTCCTTTGTGACCACTAGAGGGAGCCAACCTCCTATTTTTGAAGAGACTTTAGTAGCAATGGCAGCTAACAGTGCTTTTTAACAACAACGACGTCAAGGAGTCTCACCCACCAAGCTGCTCTACCTCCCTCTCTCTCTCTCTCTCTCTCTCTCTCTCTCTCTCTCTCTCTCTCTCTCTCTCTCTCTCTCTCTCTCTCTCTCTCTCTCTCTCTCTGTCTCTCTCTCTCTCTCTGTCTCGCTCATCCCGTTAATTGTTTTATGGGACCATCCATTTGATTTAATTCACAGCCAACGGCCTCATGTACCATCTACAATAAACTAAATAGTTATGTTAATGCTGTTTTTTTAACACCTATAGTCTATTGTTTGTGGAAAACACAAAATTCACAATGGGGGAAGATTAAGAGGAACAAAATAATTAACACTATAATTGAATTGTAGAATCAATTATATTACTTTACAACCACGACGGTGTCTTCATTATATTAGACACAAAAAAAAACAAATCAACATACTCCCAACGTTGTTTGCTTTAATTGTTTCTTTATTATCTATCGTGTTCTTCGCCGCTCAAATCAAATAAAGGAACCTTTCAGTAGAACTGGGTGGGCAGGCCGGCGCATTAAGTAAAAAAGCCCGTGGTGAATTGTGTAAACAGCCCGGGGCGGAGGAAAAAGTTCATGCCCGGGTCCATGTAAGGAGAAACCGGCGGAGCAGCAGGCCACTGCACGGACATTTAATTAATAGGACCTGCAGAGGATTATGTCGATATTAGGACTGTAACTTTGCCTCGCAGTGGCCATTAACAATTTCATGCGCAGTCGCCTTTACAGCAGGCCACGCGGAGGCCTTCAGGGTCGGCTTCTGCCAATCTTTGATCACGATCTTCTTTTATTTCAAACCACAGCTTCGCGATAATAACCATACGGCATTCCGTAAAACACCCGATAAATCCCTGGGGACGTTTTTTTATTTATTTATTTATTTATTTTAACGAATGGAGTTCCTTGTGTGTGAATCACGAGGAGGTCACAATTCTCGATAAGGCCCCGGCAGATATTCAAACCCTTTTCGTGTGAGGTGTCACCCTCCTCCCGTTTGGTTCGCTGGTGTTGAGTAAACTCTCACACCTCAGGCCACTCGCGGACCAAACCGTCCTTTAATTCCCGTTGTAATGAGAGCTCACTTCGCCGCCCACTTCCCAGCGACGCGTCCCTCCGGCCCGCTTTCATCTCCCGGTCACCTGCTTGCCGGCGTTGGGTCCTTTTAACCAACACGATGCATTTATTGTGACCGTAAAACGGGAGGCAAACGACACATATTAGCGTACTGGTGCCAGTATATGTTCTATTATTACAAACGAGAAAGCATAACATATAAAAAGTTAAATGGCCTTTCGTAAATTGTTATTTTTTCGTTGCTTTGGGGAGATTTGCAAATAAATCCAATGCTGTAACATCATGATGTGTTACAAAGTGCGCGGTTGTGAGTTCGTCTCTCACTTTCTGAGGGTCTCGGCGGCAGAAGGCTGGCAGTTACCGACACCCCCCCACCTCCCTCCTCCCTCCTCCATATACGCCCCCAAGTGCGTCCCGAGAGCCCCCCCCCCTCGCTTCCCATTGGACGTCTCGCGCACTCTTCTGGGAGGAGCTTCGCTGGCACCAAAAAGGAGGAAAGAAACTGCCCCAAAAAGTCCTGCGTGGTGACGGATGTCCAAAGTTCAGAACTTTTTCAATTTGACTCCCATAGAGACGCGGGGATGGGGACGGCTTGAACGGCGGCTGAGATCCAGTTTCGTTCTTCTCCTTCTTCTTCTTTTTAAACTGAGCAGCGCGGAACTGTGATTTTGGGAGGAGGAACAAGTGGAGCTCTCTCCGTCTCTTGCGTATTTCTGGAGCTTTTATTTCCAAGCCCGAAGACAATGCAGGCTCGCTACTCCGTCTCCAGCCCCAACTCCCTCGGCGTCGTGCCCTACATCAGCAGCGACCCGAGCTACTACCGGGCCGCGGCCGGCGGGGGGTACACCGGGATGCCCGCGCCCATGAACATGTACTCCCACGCGGCCCATGACCAGTACCCCGCCAGCATGGCCCGGGCGTATGGACCGTACACCCCCCAACCCCAGCCCAAGGATATGGTCAAACCCCCTTATAGCTACATCGCGCTCATCACCATGGCTATCCAGAACTCGCCCGACAAGAAGGTGACCCTCAACGGGATTTACCAGTTTATCATGGAGAGGTTTCCATTTTACAGAGACAACAAGCAGGGCTGGCAGAACAGCATCAGGCACAATCTGTCGCTGAACGAGTGCTTCGTCAAGGTGCCCCGTGACGATAAGAAGCCCGGCAAGGGCAGCTACTGGACCCTGGACCCGGACTCTTACAACATGTTCGAAAACGGGAGCTTCCTGAGGAGGAGACGGCGGTTCAAAAAGAAGGACGTCGTGAAAGAGAAAGAAGAGCGGCTGCAGAAGGACATGCCGCCGAGGGGGCAAGGCCGCGAGCAGGAGCAGCCGGTGCAGGGCTCCAAGCCCGTGAGGATCCAGGATATTAAGACCGAGAACGGGACGGTCACGCCGCCGCAGTCCGACTCGCCCTCTTTGAGCGCGGTGCCCAAAATCGAGAGCCCGGACAGCAGCAGCAGCATGTCCAGCGGGAGCCCTCACAGCATCCCCTCCAACAGGTCCATCGGCATGGACGGCTCGGAGCACCACCAGCACCACGGGCAGGCCTCGACGCAGGGCTTCAGCGTGGACAACATCATGACGTCCCTCCGGGGGTCTCCGCAAGGTGCCACGGAGCTGGCCCCCAGCCTCAACGGCTCCGGCAGGACGGGTATAGCACCGGCTTTGTCCTTAAACTATTCTCCGAATCAGACGTCTGTCTATAGCTCACCGTGCAACCAGAGCGCCATGTCCACTACCTCCAACGGCACCTATCATTGCAACATGCAGGCCATGAGTTTGTACGCCGGGGACAGGTCTAGCCACTTGGCGCCGAGCACCTCCGTGGACGAAACGTTGCCAGATTACTCGGTGACCACCACCTCATCTCCCATGAGCCACGCTAATCTGAACTCGGTGCAGGAGGGCCACCATCCCCACCAAGGGAGGCTGACCTCATGGTACGGAGACCTGGGCCACTTGGGCGCAGCGTACCCGGCGCAGCAGCAGAACTTTCATTCGGTCAGAGAGATGTTTGAATCCCAAAGAATTGGCTTGAATAATTCACCGGTGAATGGGAATAACAGCTGTCAGATGTCGTTTCCACCGAGCCAACCCATCTATCGCACTTCGGGAGCGTTTGTGTATGACTGCAGCAAGTTCTGACCAAAAAAAATACAAAAAAATACAAATAGAAGAACAAATAGGCTCGTAATTTTCCTCACGGTGTTTGAACTCTTCCAAGTAAAATCTAACGTGTCCTCAAGCCCGCTCTCCTGCCGACACCATATGGACTAATATGAGACAGAACAACCCCCCCCCGAAAAAAAACAGAAAGACTCTGTTTTTTGCTCTCTAAACAACAGTGTTACTGCAAATAACACGTAAGTCTCTCTTCGCTTTTGTGACTTTCTGTGATATGTTAAATATGACAGTTTTCATGGACGTGTAAATTGCATATAGTAATTTATTTCTAAAAATGTAGCCAGATATTGTGGACCAAACACCCCAAAAGTGTTTCTAAATTGAATTGCCTTACTTGTCCAAACAATTGTTCCAATATAAAAATTAAGAAAAAGGAACGTGTATATCGCCGTATCATTTTAAAGATTCTTCATTTGTTGGAAAGTATGCTGAAGGATTTGTTTGTTTGTTTAATAAATTTTCATTTTATGTGAGTTAAAGTTACGCCTCGTTTCTTACAGACTCCCAGGTTAGTCGTATTTTACATTTAGTCTGGCTCATGCTAGTTTTTTTGTAAAAGAAATAGGCCTCCTTAATAATCTGAATTTACGCTCTGGGATTTAGTTATTTTTTTAATTTATTTGATTCTGTGCGTTCCTCATAGTGCATTTGGCATCAACCAGAATTATTTGTAATACTTCCCTGGCATTTACTTACAAAATATATACATACACGCGTCAAAAAGAGAAACCGTCCGTAGTTTGGTCATTTTGACATTGAAAATAGCATGCACTGTTTGGGTTTGTGTTCCATTTAACATGACTTAAAGGGTGACTGAGATGATGCTGACCCGAGGCCTTCACCAGCCTCCACACAGCACCACTTTGTTTTGGATTGCGTTGTGTGTTTACTGGCGTATACCAGTGCTTACTTAATATCATACCACACATGCCAAAGATAGTCCCCGTTGTCACTTCACTTTTGGTGTTGAATTCTATTCGGCCTGACGTTCACCGTCATGACACATTCTGGTTTTTGTTTTTTTTGTTGGACATTTAATGCAACAAGGAGTATGTATTAAATCGGCCCATTATTCGAAATGTCAGATTGATGTTTATTTAATTTGGCAGTTTCCTCCTCAAATGTTGTTTATTTCAGTGACAATAATGAATGGGAAACTATTTATCTTAATAACGTTAAATGGTAACCCATACATTCCTTTGAAATAGGATTTCTTATATTAACGGCAATTATTTATACACTTTTATTGTCCCGACGATCAAAGCAGGTTTTTAATTAATATTTTCTATTTATCTTTCATTTGTTCCAAATATGTATCAAGCAAACATTACAACAAATAGAAAGAAATATATTGAAATAATATTGCTCGGTGCGTGAGGTATGCCTAAAATTACGCGTGGCCACAGACCGTAAAAAGACAATGTCAATGATAATTATAATATTTTAGCTTTAATTTTTTTTAGCTTTAATAAAATTATAATAACAAAATGACCACTACTAGTAATAATGATAATACAATTATGAGTAATTATCAATTTGTTGATACTAAAAAATGTTAAAATATGATGACGACAATACTCATAATACTAATTATACCCATCATCATAACAATTATACTCGTCAATAGTTGGCACTTTTACCTTCCCAAGGGATGTGCTGAATTTCCTGTCGAACTTTTTGACAACAATACAAGATGCTTCGTGCATCTTTTTTCTCCCCTTTCAACAGAAACAACAGAGTGCAAGGCAACCGAGTCGTAATTCAGTCCAAAACAAATAGAATGTGGATTCCGAGAGACTTTTCTGCAAAATAGAAATAGAAAGCAGGTTGGCTCAGTCCTCCTATTCCCCCCGGAGAGCGCACGCCAACAAGGCACATCAAGGCACATCAACAGAGCATTTTCAACTCAAATTAACTGGAGGCCACCTGCTTATCCCAGACTATACGGACCTCATTGGCAAGGCAGACAACAACAACAACAACAAACACACACGTATGTATATATATATATATATATATATATATATATATATATATATATATATATATAAATGCTGCTCTTTTGTCTTTCACAGCTCCCCGATTGCACCAACTATAATCAGGCTCATAAAAGTCGTTATACGTTCCTGAGTTGAGGCCTAATAAACAAACGTCGTGTTAGCCGAAAGATTGATTGCGCTCTCACAGAATAGAGCAGGTCAGGAAGGAATAAAATTCAATCAGAGAGCTGGAATCGTTTTTCATGAGACGGAAAAGGCAGAGAGGGAGACGGGGGTCAATGATGAGGATGTCGGCCGCCAGAGCACCATCAACAATACAACAGGACGTGGCGCGCGCGCGCACACACACACACAGAGCGGAAGAGACACACACGCACGGATAGAGAGACAGAAGGGGACCGGGGGAGGGTGGGGGGGTGTCTCCTTAACGTCGTAATATCCGATTTTTAAAGTTTTCATAAATTAAAGGTCCAATACACGAATACAGAAAATGGTCAAATAGCTTTTAACCGGTGAACTGATAATGAACCGATGCTGTAATTAACAATGAGCCTGCGGTTTTCCACATGGGTCCCGGGGGGCTTCATCCTACCCCAAGGGGTCCCTCAGCGAGATAGGCGCAAACTTAATTTCACTTTCATTTCCCTTCTCAGAAGGAGTGGGAAGGTTGTGTGTATTTCCTGTTACAGTTATGTGCACCTATGCGGTTGAGCTCGCTATTTCTCATCAAAAAGAGCAACTCAAATCAGATGTTACTGAAGGCCAAATCTCGTTAAACAGGCTCCCGTGTCTGTCTTGGGTCTACAGAAGACATTTGGAGACCCCTGTTTGACTCTACTCTGCTTTTCCCTCAAACTTCCCAGCTACATTTCTGAAAAAATGCAAAGCTTCACTCACTGCTCTGCGCCAAATAACGAAAAAAAAGCGTTGGTCAATATTAGCTAAAATATCAAATCAGTGCATGGGGTTAAAAGCCAATATAGGAAATTAATTTATAATAGTTTCGTCTTTTTTGGTTGTTGTTTTTTTAAGCCAACATTTATTTAGACAAAAATGCAATGATTTAGAGCAAAATAAACAAATACCTAAACAGTCATATAATCTGAATTAAATTTGACATACTTGAGGGAGTTAGCCGAGTTTGTGGAAGTCAGGTCAAAGTTCGAGAACCGCCCATGAAAATAACCAACACGTTGTTTTTAAAGGTGTGGATGACGTGTCGACTGCATGTAGAACCAGCTTGATGGTCACAAAGAGCAGAGCCGTGAAGTCTAGTTTGACCCATTTGTTGTGGGTCACGTCAGCTGATGATGCACAAATCCAAATGGGAAACTGCCATTTACAAACCTTCAGTTTTGACACTATTGGCACCTCGTAAAAATAAAAACCAGAATACTTTGTAATTATTATTTCTGTTATTATTATTAATAATAATATTGATTGACGCGTTGAAGCCAAATGTGATGTATTTATTCATTTGATAGTGTGGTTGTGTACATGGCCGCACAGCAGGAGGAGGCGGGGGGGGGGGGGGGGACCTGTAAATGACCTGGAGCCCCCGCACGCAGCGCGCACCTGTGTACCGCTGAGTTACCGGATCAGCGCGCAGTGGAAAATGCTGCCTTTTAAACTCTCGGTTCGAGCACAAGACCCGAATCTTCACGCGCCATCTGTTTCCAATTTTGGAGTCCGTTCCGACGCGGATTCTGTCCGCGCCGCAGCCAACCGAGGACTTCCAACACTTGTCTCTCACGAGGGGAAATAACGGCCGCTTTGGCTTCGTCTCCTCGTGTCTTTTTTTTTATACACACAGCATATAGTGTTTTTTGTTTTTTTTAAAGACACGATTCACACGGTTCTGGTGCAAACAGGCAGAGCGATGAGGTGAACAAACACAGCTTTCCGGGGGAGGAATAGTGATCGGAGCAGCGGATTAAAGACGCAAGACTAAAAAAAAGTCCTGCAGAGCCGGTGGGTCGCTGGACAAGGAGGGGGAGGAGGGGGGTGGAGGGGGTCGTGGGGGGGTATAATGGGGTACTGTGAAGTCAGGTCGACCTGCGAGTAACCCGACAGCCTTGGCGAGCCGGTTTACAAACGAACAGAGGTGCCTTCAAGTGACACAAAACCCGCCTCTCTGCCGCGCGGCCTGCGGTTACTGATTATAGCATCTTTTCAGGCGGCGCGCACTTGAATGCACCAATTATGCAGCTTTCCATACAGTATTTATTGTCAAGGGCAGTTGACGTTATTAATTTATTTTTGGAGGTCTCACGCTGGAGGACTTTGCCGACTTTGTTTTTAATCCGAATGGTCAGGTTGGAAATCAAACTTCACCTCGATGCTTATTGTGTGTTTAGTGGATTTTACGCCCATCATTTTTTTATTATTTGTTCTTAACTTTAGTACAAACCGTGGCTGCTGGTTCGTAGTAAAATAAACATAATTAAGTGGAGTTTAATAAAACAATTCGCGTAAACTATAATAGCGATACGCGTCACGCAATGGGAATGTAAATTTACTACAGGAAATACAAAGGTCCAATTTAGATGCGTGCCAATAAAATACATCTTACTTAATTCCCAGCTTAACGTGGGTTTACACAGTCCTGATGGCAGGAGGCAAACAGAACCAACTTGAACTCTTTAACTTAAGAGGGCCACTTCAAAGCTGTCAGACTGCTGCCATTTGAGCCCCGGTAGCTGTTGTCTGTGTCTTTCGGGGGTCTCATCTCATTTAATGGTGCCACGAATACATCCACAGCAGCTTTCTGTTGCTATAAGACTCAGGAAAGAAGCTGGTTGTTGTATATGGAATACGTGATAAAATGTTTTAGTGGCTAACTGAATAATTATTGTTATTAAACATCCAAATACTACAAAATAGTTTTTAGTTCTAAAAGAGATCAAATAAAGGCAATGAAAACAAAGGTGCTAAAAAATTCTATTACTCAATTATCAAAAGAAAAAAGAGGCTGAAGATAATACAGATAATACAGTGCTGCACATGTGACATAATTTCCCCTTAAATACAAATATATTTTTCATGAATATTATATCCTTCCCGCTTGTATTTAGCTGGCAACGTCAAATGGATATTTAACAAACTCTCCTTGTTGCCATAGAGAAGTGTGTCGTGCATCAAAAGAGGAGACGGTTCCGGAGCGACCTCTCAATTCAAAGTATACTTAAGTCTGCCCATGCAGGGGAGAAAAGATCGTCACAGCAACCAAAGGCAGAGCAAGAGGAAGAATTGAGCTGCAGTGTAAATTACATATTTCCTTTAAAATTAAAAAAAAGGTTGCTTCACATGAGCATGGACTGAGGACCTTTTGTCTGCGTGTGGCGTAGTCGTGTGCTCCTGAATGCAGAGCGGACAATTGCGATCGGATGTTTTTAAAAAATTCTTCTTCTTGAAACATAATTTCCAAACTACTTGTGATATCTTTTTTCTCCTATAATTTCAGGTGGCAGCAGGGATTG